CCCAGCCACCTGAATTTAGTCCCTGGGGCCTACCTGAAGGTGAGAGGAGACCACTGACATCACAAGAGCTGTCCTCTGTTCACAGGCACGTCATGGCATGAGAGCCTACAGACACGTGTGCGCGTACACTCATTCATGCACGCACGCGCACGATATGATGATGATGATGATAAGCCCCTTGCTATTTAACTGGTTTCAGAATACTCAGCAAGGACTACAGATATACAGCACAGGCCTTGGGATTGCCGGCAATGTCTCTGGGGACGGGCTTTGCCACTTACTGACTTTGTGGCCCTTAGGTGAGCTCTCGTCCACTGGCATGGGATATGCGCTCAGTGAAAGGCGGCGGCTGTCGGTAATGCTTTGCGTGCCACTGTCTTCCCGCGGAGTCGCTTTAGAGAGCCCAGCCACCTGCTCACATCTTATCGCTTACATGTAATCCTTACGCCTTACAGCTAATCCTGCCCCGTGTGTTCTTCTCATAAGGAGCTTTGAAATCCTGTCTTTGGCTGGCGTTTGGGATGAAGTGGGATAAATGGATACATGAAGCATGGCTATGGTTGTCGAGGCAAATCTTGGTGGTGCCAGACCATTGCATAAGAGGTCTGCAGACTGGCTCTGCCACTCAGTGGCTATCCCCCAAAGACTGCATGTACTTCCCGTGGTTGCTTAGAACGCTAGTTCCAGGTTATTGAGGTGGCTTGGTGAGTAAAGGTGCTTCCTGCACAAACCTAGCTTCATGAGTTCGATCACCAGGACCCACAAAAAGGTACGGAAAAAGAACCACGTCCACGAATCTTTTTAAGTCTTTGAAGAGTAGTCTCTAAGCATCCGGAACTGTACAATCTAGCAAAAAATAAATACATAAATAATGGGCAGGCATTTTCCCATCTACATACAGTTTTTCACTCTATTCTGTTGAACTGGTGGAGTACGTATATTATAGAACACTTGCAAAAAGAAGACAGTACATGAATTTAGTGTCTCAGTAGCCTTTGAATTTCTATTATTTCTTCTCTCATGTCCAGTGGATTATCTTGCAAATCTCACCTTGGTTGAAAGGACTGAATGAGATAGTGTTCATGGAAAATATATCATAAAGTATAATGTGAAGATCAAGTATTACATAGTCATTACATAATCACAGTTTAAACATGACTTTACAATGGTTCTTAGTACTAGCCTATCATTATGAATCAGATGCTGCCATTACCCCCATGTTAAAGATAAAGGAGGGAGAGCCAGAGAGACCAAAGTCACAAGGTTAGTAAGTTGCAACTAGACCCCCAGGCCTATCAGACTCCAAAGCCAGTGCTCTAATGATCCCCTATGTCAGAGTGCCGTTGGATGTCCCAGGGAACCAAGGCAAGGGTGGAGAAGCTCTTCTCCACCCAGATACAAGGCCCACATTTCCACACAGTATCCAGAGCTGTTAGCTCAGGAATAGTTTTCTGTTGCAGGGCTTGTCTTCATGCCAGGAACAATCCAACTGACTAGGAAAGACATCCTGTACCGTCTGCAAGCATCCAAGGCCAAGTGCATTGTGGCCAGTGAGGAAGTGGCTCCTGCGGTGGACTCCATTGTGTCAGAGTGTCCCAACCTGAAGACTAAACTCCTGGTGTCTCCACACCACTGGGACGGGTGGCTCAGCTTTCAGGAGTTACTTCAGTGAGTATTTGGGCGGGAGACACTAGCGACAGCACAAATCATAGCTACAGCTCTGAATCTGTTTATCCAAAGACGCAGCAGTAGCCAGAGTTGATCCAGGCTCCTTTCCCAAAAGAATATTTTCAAGTGTTTGGGGGTTTAATCTGTATGTGTGTTTGTGCATAGCATGTATGCAGTGCCCACGGAGGCCAGAAGAGGGCATATGATCTTCTGAAACTGGAGTTACAGATAGTTGTGGGTGGCAGGAACTGAACCTAGGTCCTCTGCAATAACAGTGCTCTTAAACACTGAGCCATCTCTCTTGCCCCAAAAAGAATAACATAATGACATTATTTACATGCAGAAGGAAGAACTATAGCTCTGCTCTGACTTTTCTGTTTTCTCTGTGGCCTATGATAAGTGTGCTTTAGAGATTGGCCTTTGCCCAGCTCCCAGGCCACAGCTATCACCGGTCTTTCTTTTATTCCTTAGACATGTTCTAACTCGGGGCCTTTGCTGTCTCTCCTGCCTGGAATGTTCTTTCCTACTCCTTTGAAAAGCTGTTCCTTCTTGTCAGGTTTCAGTTCAAATGTTTTATTGTAAGTGGTGCTGCCCCGACCAACATGATAGGAGCCTTTTTCCCCCTTCGTGTCACTGTTTCTTCACATCACTGGCTCCTCTGAGTGGTCAGACCAGTCTCTTACTCTCTTATATTCAGCTTTTCTCCTCTGAGGTAGGGATTGGAACGTTAGACTCAGAAGCCAAATCTGGGCCACCACTTGATTTTGTAAATAAAGTTTTATTGGCAGACAGAGGTGCTCATTTGTTTGTATATTGTCTGTGGCTGCTTTCATATAATGATAGCAAAGTTGGGCAGTTGTAATAAAGGTCTTATTGTACACAGGGCCTAAAATGTCTTCTCTCTGACCCTTTGCAGAAAGCATTACAGTTCCTGTCCTAAATTATGCTCTCTAAGGAAGCCAAGGCTTTGCTTGTATGTTTAGTTAATGCCTTTATCTTCAACAACTAACAACATATAGCTTGGTGCTGAAGAAATATTTAATAAGATGAACAAACAAAATACTTTACTTCTATTATAATTAAACACCTAGTGATATTTGAGGATAAAATAAGCTAGCATATGAGAAAGCATTTCCTAAATTATTAAAAATGAAAAAAATTGTTCATTTATAGCATAATCTTTAAGCCGCTGATGTTTTATAAAAATAAAAATAAAAATTCAGTTTATATTTTTTGTAAGTTGTGAACCCAGGTAAGTTAAATGGCATTTCTGGAAGTCTATATTTTAATCTAGGAAATCAGGATAATGACAGTGTGGAGTTGTAGAAGAAACGGATGGGAAAAGCAATATGTCATGCTCAGCATAATGGCTAGAACAAACAGCACAGTGATTGCAATTGTATGTGAAGGCTGAGTCACACAGAGGATGAAGAAAGCAGGAGTTGGGGCTGGTTGGGTTTTTGTTGGGAGACTGGGCGGTGAGGTACTGTCATCTTCAGGAAGATGGGCCTGGCAATGCCACTCGGCAGTACAGTGTTTGCCTAGAGTGGCAAGACCTTGGTCTCCATTCCGAACATTACAAAAATGGAAATTAAAAGCAGGCATGGGGTGTATTCAGAAGGTCAAAGAAGAAGTATGGAGATCCTAGAAGTCAGTTTAAGCTACATAGCAAAACACTACCTAAAAGAAAAGATAGGAAGGAAGGAAGGAAGGAAGGAAGGAAGGAAGGAAGGAAGGAAGGAAGGAAGGAAGGAAGGAAGGAACCAGCAGAGACTGCCATAAGAGAGTAAGTGAGTAAGTTTAGGTTTAGAGACTGAAGTCATGGCTCTGCTGTTAAGAGCTCACAACCATCTAAAGTTCAGTTCCAAAGGATCCAGGGCCTACTTCTGGCCTTCACAGGTACTGCATGCATGTGGTGCACAGACATACATGAAGGCAAAGCACCTATACATGTTTAAAAAAAACAGTAAGTTTACAGCCAGCCATATTGAAATCAGGTCCTAGAAAATCAAGTTGTCTAACAAGTGGAGAATATGTGAGTCTTGGGTATAAAGATGAAAATCTGGGAGTTTCCAGGAAAAAGTCAGCTCTGAAAATCCAGAACTCAGGGAGCCAAAAGGAGAGAAAAGCTAGAATTCACCCTTGAACACCTCCCTTCCTCCCAGAGATTCTAATGTCTCTTCTTCTCGTGAAAAGTAAACAATTAAATAAAAGTCTTGTATTAGAAGGTTCCCTTACTGAATGGAGGAATGCCTAAAGACAAGAGATGTCCCCTAACCTAAGATGTTAGCTAAAGTAACATAATCCCTCCCTCTGGAACCCAAAATATCCAATTTCACCCAATATTTGTTCTGAAAAGAAATCCAATGACCTTTGTCTATTTTAAAGAAAATTACCAAAACTTTCTTAATTTTTTGTGTAACTATTTCTGAGCATTAGGGATTAAGTGTGTCTGTTACACACTCAATGGTCTCTATTTCACCGATTCATTGCCATTCAGTCATCATTAAAATTAGCTGAGGGTTAGAAATATGATCCAGATGATAGAGTTTGCCTAACAGGGATGACACCCTGGACTTCTCCAGTGCCCCATAACCTGGATATGGTATACCTGTGTGTAATCTCAGCACTCAAGAAGTGGACGCAGGAGGAAGTTTTGGTTTGGTTCTTTTGAGACAAGGTTTCTCTGTGTAGCCCTGTCTTTCCTGTAACTCACCTTATAGACAAAGCTGGCCCCGAACTCACAGAGATCTGCCTGCCTCTGCCTCTGAGTGCTGGGATGAAAGGCTCAAGCCACCACACCCAGCTAGAAGAAAGCTTAACATCATCCTCAAGAGCACAGTTTTCAGCCACCCTGGGCTCTATGAGACAATGCCTCAAAATACAATAATAACATAAAATGAAATTTACTGAAGTAAAACCTTTAGCTTGGAATTTTTTCAGAAAGGGAAATTTTGGCATGGTGGTGCACGCCATTAATCCCAGAACTCAGGAGGCAAAGGCAAGCAGGTATCAACGAATTCTTGAAATGGGTATCAACTTACAAAGATTCAAATTGTTCTTAAATTTTTTATAAATTACAAGAGCACTTTTGTTATTCACGTGGTGAGTTACCTTGGCTATCTCTTTGGCTCATAGAGAGATGAGCTTAAAAACAAGGACCTATGCTGTTGAACCTTTGCCCTGATCTCTAGAGTCCTTCTAAGTTTCTATTCAGGGAAGCTCTGTGGCAGATTCAATCCATGACTCTCCTGTGATAAGAGGGGAGCGCAGAACAATGACACAGACTCAACTCATCTGTCTTCAGCGTCTATCTTGGGGTTCATCTGCAGATCGGCCTCTGAAGAGCATAGCTGCGTGGAGACAGGAAGTCAAGAACCGATGGCCATTTACTTCACCAGTGGGACCACAGGCTCCCCCAAGATGGCTCAGCACTCACAGAGCAGCCTCGGCATTGGGTACACCCTCTGTGGAAGGTAGGAATGAAAACTACCGTTTTGTTCTTATTTTGCTTACAGCCAAGTCTCACACTGTAGCTGGCTTTGGACTGCAACTCACTCTGTGGTTTCATTGGCCTCCAATTTACTGCAGTCCTCCTGCCTCGCCAGCCTGCACCCAAAGAAAGGTTGGCATTGCAGGAGTACACCACCACACCACTTCTTTGTTTTGTATACAGTCTCCCCAGGCCGCCAGAGCGGTTGTCACTGCTGATGGGACATTTCTCCTTGAATGGCTATTAAGACATCTCTAACATAGATCCATAAAACAATGCCCCTGCCCTGCCCTGCCCTGCTCCATTGAAATGGTGCCATCTAGTTAATTGATGAAGCAAGAACTTAGGATTGGAGCTTGATTCATAGCATGTCTTCCCCCCTCTTCTCATTGCCAGGTGAATTTCACTACCTAGAAGGATCTTTTAAAGACAAAGTCTACCTAAAACTGTCACTTCGCTCTGTTTGTAGTTTTCCTTAAAGTTAAGGCATTCAGTGATTAATCTCAATCATCAATCATCAGATCTAGAATACCCAAGGGATTGTCTTCTGGGTATGCCTAGCAGTTTCTACCTTGAGTAAGCTCCCTGAGGTGGTAAACCCTGCCCATCGTGGGTGTCACCATTCCCTGGGCTGGGATCCTTGACTGTATAAAAAATAGGAAGTGAGATGAGCACAGGCATTCATCGGGCTCTGCCTCCTGTCAACACAGCGTTCTTAGCTCCTCAGGCTCCTGGGGCCAGCACTTTTCCAGCATGGTGGACTCTACCCTGGACCTGTGAGCAAAATCAGGCCCTTTATCCTTTTGTCAGTATTTTATCACAGCACTTTAAAAGTAAATATCTTATCTACTGTTCCTACAACATCTACATACTTGGTTCTCATTGCTGTGTGTTTGTGCTACTGTTTCCTTAAAATAAAAGCAGAGATCTGTCTTGTGTGCTTCCTGATAACGGTGCCTGCTACATAATATTTACTCACTAAATATTTGTCATGTCAATGGACAAACACAGAAAAATACACCAAACCCAGTCCCGCAGGTCTTATCTCTTCCAGATAAGATTCAGAAAAGTCCTTCTCAGGAGAAAGGGGAGTAGGATCCTGCACTTGATCTGAGGTTTCTTTCCACTGTAGCATAGGTCAAGGCTACTCCTCAAAAACACTAGTGTTCATTTTCCATTGTTTTGCTCTGTTCTGTGGCTTTTCTGTATGTAGGTATTGGCTAGACTTGACCTCCTCAGATATCATGTGGAATATGTCAGACACTGGCTGGATCAAGGCTGCCATTGGAAGTGTGTTTTCTACGTGGCTTCGAGGTGCCTGTGTTTTTGTGCACCGGATGGCCCAGTTTGACACTGATACCTTCCTAGATGTAAGTCTTGACCCCACAAAGTCATAAAGATTCCTCTGACTCCAGGGTTTCCCGAGGTTCTGAAAATCGGTTTGGGTTGTTTTACTTGTTTGGTTCTGTTTTTTGTTTGTTTGTTTTTTTGTTGGTGTGGGGTGTTTCTTTTCTTTTCTTTCTTTTTTTCTCTTCAGCAAAGTCTCAGGGAGTTGAGTCCTGAATGCTTGTGAATGGAGAAGAATCACCTACCACACTCTCCGTGGGAAATCCAGGCTGCAGCTGTAAATAACTCAAGGCTCACTGGTGATAAAACCTGGCTGCTTAGGAGCCTCATTCTAAATAATGGAAGACAAATAAATATTCTGTTTCTGATCTAGTGGAAAAAGGACAGTAGCTCATCTCGGGAGGTCACCTTTTTTCTTATGGCATCTTCTTTTCATCCGTCTATTTCATCCCCATCCTGTGATCCTCACTGTAACTCACATACTCTGATATTCTAGCAAAGTAGGTACATATACCTTCCACCAGAGGTGGCTACATTAAAACATCTGGTAGAACAGCAACCTAAACTGTGACCTAAAACACATTTCAAAATAACTGGAGTTTTGGATATTGTCAACACATAGAAGTGATGATATTTGAAGATATGCACATGCTAATTGCCTTGATTCGATTATATGCAACATACATACACACATATTTTCTTATACTCTATAAATCAGGGCTTCTTAAACATTGCCACTCTGACATTTTTTTTTCACCCAAGAGATATTTATACAACCCTATGGCTGTACAAATCCAACATTGCTGACAATAAATCATAAAGAATTTATTTTAAAATAATTCCTTAATATATATATATATATCGATATGTATATATATATATGTATATATCGATATATATATATATGTGATCTCACAAGTAATTCAAAAGAAAGAAAACTTACATACTAATAAAATATTTCGAAGCTTTGGCCTGATGTAAACATGGCTTCCTCCACAGTGTTAGTAAAGCAGCGTGTCTGTGTGTGAGGAAAAGCTGCAGTTAGTCTGAGGCTTTTTGCTAACTGTTCTGACAGGGTAGCTTGAAGGCCTTAAGATAAGTACATGAGTCCTAGGAGGGAGGCTCTCTGCATCAAGTTTACCAAGTGCCCTGAACAAAATAACCATTTACTCCACATTTCAAAACTTTCTTTTGCAAAATAAGATCATTTTTGTTTTACAAAGATGATGGTATTCGTAAAATCCTCTACAGGACTTGTGTTATTCTGAGACATACGCATTATACTTACTAAAAAGAATTTAAGCCTCTAAAGCAGGTGCCTATGGAGTCAAGCTACTGTGTGAGTTAAGAGTTATCGTTGACATCATCAACAGTCTGGCTGGCCTGCACACATGTGGACAATGTTGTCCAGAATGCTTATGTTTAATCGTGGTTCTTCTCCCGCCTGGGGGTGTGGAGGGGCTGTTTCCACCCTCCACAAGGACAAGGAGGGCAGGAGATGAGGCACAGAACTGAGAAGGCTGGCGAGCACATACAGAGATCAGACACTCCGGAGCCACTTCAGAGAGAGTTCAACAGCAGGGTCCTTCCAACATTTAATACCAGCTGTACCACCCTGAATTTTGCAGTGGAGCCTTTAATATCATGAGAATTCTCCACTAAAGCAGGAGAATTTCATTAGACTTGAAGGTTTGACCTAGGGAACTAGAGGTGTAGTGAGCCCCGGAAATTTTAAGTCCTTTGAAATGGCTGTTTCTGCACTGACTCAGTCTTCTCTAAAGTGGGCTGTCCTTCACTGGCTGCTGCTGACCTACCACGGGGTCCTGGTAGGTTAGCCCATACATCCAGGCTCAATGCAACACAGAACACGTGGGTGAATATGAGTAGGAGTTTACAAGAGTTCACCGTATGAAGCTCTGAAGTCGAGTAAACCAGTTCATACTTCTGGTTGTTCTCGAACTCCGCAGTTCGCCTACTGAATTCGACAGCCTATACCTTTTTTTCTAGGACATGCACATTTCTCTTTCTATTAACTAGAAACCCCCAACATGTCACTAATGACAGCTGATAAATATTTACTTTCTTACTCCATGTGATCAGCAGGCAGTAATGAAAAGGAAAGGTGGCAGAGGCTATCTCTAGCCATGGCCTCTGGCTCACCACTCCTGACATGTCTGTCTTTCTCTGTCATCCAGACGCTCACCACTTACCCCATCACAACCCTGTGCAGCGCTCCCACTGTGTACCGGATGCTCGTACAGAAGGACCTTAAGAGGTACTGGGCGGAACTCTCCATTTGAACACAAACAGAAGCTGTCACCCAGCATCACAGGGCTTCCCTCTTCATGCAGGGGGGCACAGGAGTCCAAATCTCATCGTATTGACATCCTGGGCCACATAGCATCGTGTTCTGGAGCTATTCTGTGCGCTGTACAATACTGAGCAGATGCCAGTAGCATCATCCTCTCCTTTTCCTTCGTGCTCAACAACCAAAATGCCCCAAGACATTACTTAATACCCTTTGAGGACAAAATCATATGTCAGCTTAAGATCCAGAAGAATGGCAGGAAAGATACTCAGTCACATGCTTGCCACACAAGCATGAGGACCCGAGTTTGATCCTCAGAACCGCCTGACCATGCAGGTGTGGTAGCATGCCCTAGCATGGGGGAGACAAGCTCACTGGCAAGCCAGAATAGCTTGCTTGAGGAGTTCAAGGCCAGGGAGAGACCCATTCTCAAAAAACAACGTGATAGCACCTGTGGAATCACACCTGGGGTTGTCTTTGGATCTACATAAACATGCAGATATGGGCACCTGAATTCACACATACACTCACACTACAGGACCAGGCATGCATAAGTGTGCACACGCGCACGCGCGCGCGCGCGCGCGCACACACACACACACACACACACACACACAGCCTTTAGAATCAGCCCCTTTAAAGCAAGAAGGTGATGTTGAATGACACACACACACATCTATTCACCCCATATAGGCAGTCAATGACAGAGCAAAGTACAGATACCACCAAGTCCAACTTAGTAAACCAGTAAGTTGTATTGGGATTACTTACTTATTATGACAGGTTATTTACAAGAGCGGGAATGACTCAAAACAGCAGCACCACCAAAGCCTATTCCAGCACACTATATAGCCTGCAGGCAGCTCAGCATGTTCAAGAGTGTCCTTTCCAGGTCCAGGCAGCTGGTCCGGTCTCAGGAGTCTTCTTTTCAACTTTTATTGCTTACTCTGACAGAGAAGGGGCCTGTCAGAGTAAGCAATTGAATCTGGTCAGTTTCAGAGACTGCCTCAATCTATCTTGAGTTGTTTACCTTCCCATCCTCCAGTTTTAAGAAACTCCCATGCAGGATGGAAAGTCTCAATCTTGGAAGAAACTGTGATACAGTACATGGAAAGAGAAAGAAGAGATGAATAATTTTAGTCCTGCAGGCTTGGCCATCTTCCTTTCCCACTAAGGCCTGGATACCCAGGAGAGGAAGTGCTGTGAGAGACAGAGTGACACAGACAGGCAGCCTCCCCTTTTCTTGTCAGCATCACCTCCTTGTAGCTATCAGTGTGAACTTCTTGCCTCACATTTTAAATGTAATCCAAAGCTTTATAGGGGTTGCTTGAAGACACGGTACATTTTGCCCACATTTTGCTTATTTGGAGCCTCACTCTGTAGAGTCAGACCACGCCAGGCTTTCTTGTCCAGATCCAACTGTCTACTAATCTGAAGTCCAACAGGCAGGGAGGGCTTTGTTGCTTGCTTATTTGGCCTCATTAAGGCTCCATAAAATTCATCTCCAACATGGTGACAAGGATTCAGGGTGGATGACATGCTTGGGAAAATGGCCTGATAGGTCCATGGTGCAGTGTCCTACTTGATGCTCTATTACTGGCAAGGCTTTTATAATTTCTTTTAACCTCCCTAGACCCCAGTCTCCCCATCTGTATAATAGGGGCTGTGAAGAAAATCTAAGAGTGTTCCTAGAACTATTATTATGCAGCCACTACCCAGGCTGTACTGTATCATTTATCTCATAATTATAGTATTTTGTAAGGTTATTAGCATTTTTATCTACTCTTTCCCCCACTAAGTTCTTCACCTACCAAAACCTAAGTTTCTTCAGGAACTTTCTTCTCATCACTCATGTGCCTCACACAACTAAAAGATGTGCAGCAATACAGGAGGTGTTCAGAAAATACAAGGTTGTGGATGTTTCTGAGACCCCTAGCTCTCCCATTGCTTGAACATCTGAACTTGCAATGAAATGTCCAACCCCACCCCCCCATTACCATGAAACTCTGTCTCTCCAGATACAAATTCAAGAGGCTGCGGCAGTGCCTGACCGGAGGAGAGCCACTTAACCCAGAGGTGCTGGAACAGTGGAAGGCACAAACCGGGCTGGAGCTGTACGAGGGCTACGGACAGACTGAAGTGGTATATTTGAAGGACAAAATTGGTTTAGAATTTTTTCCTCAGGGGCTGTGAGAGATTGGGTCCAAGACCCCAGATGATCCCAAAATCCTCAAATATTCATGTGTGTTATATAAAGTGGAACAGAATTTTCACAGAGCTTAAGCACATCTTCCTTTCTATTTTAAATTGCTAGATTACCTGCAGTACCAAATACAATGAGATAGCACTATTTACTATTTAGATAGCTGCTGTGCTGTGTTACTCAGTAAGGATTGAGCACTGAGTCCTTGAGGTGCCGCACTCATGTTTCTACATCTTTATGGAGTTTCTCAGATAACTTTTCCTTGCTGCAAATAGTTATAATTTGTGAAATGCTCAGCTAGGTATGGCTAAAGGGGAACTGTGATTTGCCTTCCTGCCTCCTTCCAGAACAAGAGATGTCTCATGGCATTTAGAGGTTGATTGGGTTTGAACCTGAGTGGCTCATCTTTCCATTGCATTGAGAAGGATCCCCCCCCCTTGCACCCACCCCCACACATACTTCCAGGAGCCTCTACGAGACTTTGTTCCGATGTGCACACAGTAGAGCCTAGAAGGTATGGTTTTCAGCTGAGTGGTCCTCAGCCAGGTTAAGGGTATGCCTGTAATTCCAATACACAGGCAACAGATGACCACACATTCAAGGCTAGCCTCAGCTACATCATAGGTCTAGGGTATCCTCCACTATTACATAAGACCTTTAGAGCCTGTCTCAAAAGTCCAGACAGTACAATAAGAAAGAAGTATGGTTCTCAAAACTACAGCATGGATGCCCTATAGACAGGTACTGTAACAGTGTGCTGTCTGACTCTAAATACCTCACCACAGAAGATGACCCTGCCTTCTGGAAAAATGAACCAAATCAGAGAGAGAAGAAGCAGGAGAGAGGGAGAGAGGGATGGAAGGGAGAAGGGGAGGACACAGAGAGAATTGTGTGCACCTTGGCTTCCTATGGCTGTCTGCAGAGGCCAGAAAAAGGGTGTTGGATCCCTCGAGCTAGAGCTACAGGCTGTGAGCTGCCAGGCATGGATGCTAGAAGCTGAACTTGGTACTTCTGGAAGAGAAGTATGCACTGTTACATGCTGAAACATTTCTCCAGCCCCCTACACCTCCCTACCCCAAGACAGGCTCTCTCACCGAACCTAGCACTCACCAAGTAGTCAGACTAGATGGCCAGTGAGCTCAAGAGATCACCTGTCTCCACCTCCCCAGCACTGGGCTTACAGACTCATAACTACCACTTTTTATTCGTGTGCTGGGGATCAAAACTCAGGCCCTCACGCCTAAAGGCAAGCACTTTATTGACTTAACCATGTCCCCAGGCCCCAGAACTGAACCTCAAGTTTTCATTGTCAGAGTTTATTCATTCATATAAGGCATGTCCTCTTCACAGGGCATAATTTGTGCCAATTGCAAAGGACAAGAAATTAAACCAGGCTCCATGGGAAAAGGAGTAGTGCCCTATGATGTCCAGGTAGGTTGAGAAAACATCCGATTGATTCAAGAAAGAATGCTTTAGCTTTCTTCCCTTTGAATTACTATTCATGACCTGTTTTCACGCTATATATTTATATATTTTATTATATATAAATATTTTTAATATTTAATAATACATATATAAAGGTAAAGACCCAAATTGCTTCTTTAACTCCAGATTATAGATGAAAATGGAAATATCCTACCAACTGGCAAAGAAGGAGAAATTGCTCTTAGGCTGGAGTCCACTCGACCCTTCTGCTTCTTCTCCGAATATGTGGTATGAACAAGAAAAACATGCTAGCCATGCCTGAATACGAAATGGGTCCAAATTTCATATCCATTGTGTCTTGCTATGTCTTGGGCAAGTGTCAATTACAGGTCTATTTCATCAGCTGTAAAATGGGGAGACTAACATCTATTCCATGTGAGTACTCCTCAGATCAGTTCTACAAGGAAGAAACCTCTCGTAGTGGCTGTCCCCAGAGAGGAAAGGTAGACCAGCTGAGGCGGAAGAAGGTGCATACAAGCCCCGGAGTTCCCAGGAGAGATTTTAGATCTTTTGTGTTCTATTCTAGGAACTGCCCTATCTAAACCCTGACTTCTTTTAGAAGCATGATTTATAAGCCACTCGGTAGGTGTCACAGCCCTGTCTGTTCTAACCAGACTTAACCACCAAATGCATCTTTCATTGATAGGACAATCCAGAAAAGACTAAAGCCACAATAAGAAGGAATTTTTATGTCACTGGAGACAGAGGAGTGATGGACAGTGACGGATATTTCTGGTTTGTTGGCAGAGCTGATGACGTCATTATATCCTCTGGGTTCGTACATTTGCTGTTCTTAGAAGTTGATGACGTGGCGGGGGTAGGTCTCCTACTTGGAGAATGTTATGCTCAAAGGCTTCCTCTCCTCTGCAGGTACCGGATTGGGCCATTTGAGGTAGAGAGCGCGCTGATAGAGCACCCAGCAGTCGTTGAGTCAGCTGTTGTCAGCAGTCCAGATCCGATCCGGGGAGAGGTACAGTAGATATCAGCAGTCCCGTTTTCAAGTTCTGTCCACGTGTCTGTGGCAAAGGCCAGTTAGGGGGTACTCGCTTAATTCTCATCATAAGGTACATGCATGTGAGGTCATCTACCTTACAAATGAGTTCTACCCCAAAGAGGTCTGGGCTTCTTTGGATGGCCTGTGACAGAAACTCCCCTCAACTCAGGGCTTCAAGCTTCGTCCAAGCATCCCCATGAAGTTATCAACGCTCAGTCTCCCTTGTCCGCCTGAGATGCATCATGCTAGTTCCTCCCATCGCATAGCAATCAGCTCAAGACACAAATTAGAATCACTCATCCCCACCCTGCCAGGAAGGAGTAAATTCTTTTTGCAACTGTTTTAAGTAAATCCCACCACATCTTTAGCCAGTGTGGTTCAGCAATCTGTGTAGGCCAACCGGCTAGACCTGATGGTACGCTGGTCACGGCAGGGAAGTGCTGGGAGCCCTGTCAGGACGGAAGGGAACATTGCTTAGATAACCCATGTACTGCTCTTCCAGAGTGAACAGACAGCGCATAAGCAAACGAGTCAGAGATCAACTCCCATACAACTGCTTCAGCTCAAAATGCATTTTTTTACACAAACGAGAACAGGGAATTGTACCCAAGGTTGCCCCCAAACCCCCATGGGTCTATTTAGGAGGCACATCTTCCTTTCCTCCTGGAAGTTTTTCTGAAGACTTAGCAAGCAGAAAAACGTTCAGCCAGTGTGGCTGTCAGACCTCTTCCATACCTTCTTCTGTGCTTCCTTTTCACACACCAGTGGCCTTCCACAGGGCTCTCTGAACATCCTCTACCCCTCCCCAACTCTTTGATCTATCCCTATCTCCAAAATATTCTTTTCCTGCCACAACATCCTCATATTTTCAGTAGAACTGATGTCAATCAAATTCCAGAAGCAAATGCCAATGAGGATCAATGTACAAATTAACCTCAATGATTAATGGCTTAAAAGTGGTATTCAAAACAGACACAAAAGGACCTCTTAGAGATAGATGCTTCCTGATTCTGAGCTTTCTTTCAGATCTCCTTCAGACCATGTCCTCTAGAATCTCCATTTGTCCTCAACATGCCTCTAACTATACAAGTATCATGGCATAAAAGAGCACCTGGAAATCAAGGGCTGCCTTTATACAGTCAACTGAGCAAAAATGTTAAGTCTATGTGATATAGAAACAGAACTCAGCACTCCCCACACTCACATCCATTCCTCTGGAAAGAGATTCTCATGTATTTTATAGCTTGTACCCAAGCTTCATTCTCATCTCTGGGTTTTGCACTGCTGCGAACAGTCAATGCCTGTGTTAAGCAATGGTTCCAAGCACGTGATGTGTCTTACAAGCAAATGGCTTTTCTGCTGCAGGTGGTGAAAGCATTTGTTGTATTAGCTGCGCCGTTCAAATCCTCCAACCGTGAGAAGTTAACTGCTGAACTTCAGGAGCACGTGAAAAACTCAACAGCACCTTACAAGTACCCAAGAAAGGCAGGTGCAAGTTTATCTTTGGCTGTGCTGGATTTTGACTATACACTTGCTATGTATGTCAGAAGATACCCTTTGAGTTCAGGACGAATAAGCACCATTTTATATGGGGAAGGGGAATGGAAGTTAAGAATCACTAAGTCCCTAATTTTTAGAAGCAGCACCTGATCTATAGAGTAAACTAGGCTACGATATCCCTGTAAGTCCCAATGTTCAAGTAGCTTCATTTAAGCCTCAGAAGTACACACACACACGCACAGGACTCTTTCTGAACCTTTCTTCAAAGGATGAAGAAAAGAGAAAAGAACAAACACATATAGAGTGGCTATAGTACCTTCCAGTACAGTACTACCGTCAGCTGCTATAGGTTAATTACAAGACCATCTCTTCAATTAGCATCATCTGGGCCAAAATGTAGTTCATGTCAGTGATCTGATCCAACCACCTTGACACTTTCTCCACTAAAACAACTCAGTTGGTAACCTTGACTTTCAAAAGAGATGCGAAGGCATTTAAAGATACAGCACTATCTTGAAAGTATGGCCAAGTCAGGGTGTTAAGGTGAAACCTCTACAGGCTAAATTATCACTAAGAATTACCTAAGAGTTTTGGGTCCCAGCTCTCAAAAGCCCACCGTTTTAAGAAAAGGGCTTTTTCTCTCAATCAGGAATAGTAGAAGGCAGGTGAATCCTAGGTCTCCAATCCTAACCCTCAGCTGGAGTTTCTCCTATTGCACTGACAGCAGGGATGAGACAAAAGGAATCCAGTGCCTCATGGTGTGTTTTTCTGTCAATCAGGTGGAATTTGTGCAAGAACTCCCGAAGACAATCACTGGGAAGATCAAACGCAACGTGTTAAGAGACCGGGAGTGGGGACGAGCGTAGCTGGAGGAGAAGGAAGAGTAGGGGTGCAGTTAGCTTTAGAACTTGCCTCCTGGTATGCTGCAACTACACTCTGCAAACTTTGTTTTTCCTTGAAAATAGTTTTTTTGTTCTGCCCAGTTCACGAACCCCAAAAGACCAGGAATAAAGAGTCTTCTGTAAATATATGAGGTTCTTTTTATTGTAAATTACAAGCTGCAGCTTGGGCCCACACACCCCCACCGCCTAATCGGTGGGAGCCGAGCGCACCGCACCCAGATTAGTTGGGTAATATATAGATTCTGGTCCCTCCCAGCAAGCCCAAGGCAGGGGCAATTCCTGCCTGGCAAGCATCTATTGGTCAAATGCTACATTTTGAATCGATTGGCTAGACGAAGGTCTAGCCAATCAATGACCATAATGACCTGGTGTCCCTCCCTAGGGGGATGGGCCAGTTTCCTAGCAACTGTTATCTCTAGTGGGTGGGGAAAGAATGCAGTAAGGTGGTCCTTCCCCTCAGGGCATTACTAGACTTCTCCACCCACCTAGTTCAGGCCTTAATAATAGCTGCTAATTTTTAATCTTTTTGGTCTCTCAGTTTTGTACTTAGGAAAACAAGGAAAAAACAAAACAGCAAAACCTAAACATATCTGAGAAGGAGACTGTTAGGATAAACAGAGAATGGTGGGAAGTGACAAGGGTTAAATGACACCAGAGAAGGTCAGCATGCCATAAACTGCTTTAGTCATCTTGTTCTGATTAATCCAAAAGATGAACTGTCCAAACAGAAATGTTAAGACGCCTGCATAACTACTCTGTATGAAATCACCCCTCTCAAGCAGATTAAAATCTGTTTAAATCAGGAGTATAAAGGAATGAAATTCAGTATGGGATTGACGCTTGTTTTGAAGAAAATCCTGCAAAACATTTTATTCTTGGTTTTTCTGGGTATTAATTATTCATGAATAAATTTTAATTATCTTTACTTTTCAGAAACTACAAACCCAGATTTTTAATACACAATCATACACATACACATTTTTATGGTAAACATACTAGAAACATCTAAAGACATTTAATATGGAGCAGAAAACAAAAGTACAGAATATCTCAAACTTTACAGAACAAATTCTTTTTTATTTTTTAAAATATCAGGAACTTTGAAAACAACCTGAAAAGTTCAGCTGTACAAGAACAAAATCCAAGTAAAGATATTTGACAACTGTGTTCAGCTTTGGAGGAACGTGTCTCACAGTACCAGGCTTAGCTGCTCTGTAGAGGAGGGCAGGTGCACTGAGCCACAGCACGGGGATTTGGTTTCTACTTCTTTATTTTCCGTCTTAACTGCTGCAGCTTCAAAATAAACACTCAGTTCCTACCGTGGAATCACCTGTAAACTACCACACTGAAATACCAGTGAAAATAAAGCCAGCAAATCAGAAAGCAAAGCACAATCAGTAAGTGTATTTAGATTCCAACAGCACACAGCATTGTACAACTGGCAAATAGTCAGTCACACACAGGTCTCACTAAACACAAATAAATAAAAAGGGAACCAAAGAAAAGTATAAATCAATCTGAAATGCAGCAACTTCGCCAAGCTCCAAAACTCCATGTCTGAGCAAACGGTAATTTATCCCCAGGCCCTTTGTCCTACACTATTAAAAGTCCCTTTATCTCTGAGCAAACCTGAAAAAGGCACCAAGATTCTCTCCTTCCTTATCCCCTAAGTGACACAAAGGTGCATCCTTTCAAAATGGTTTCAATGTTAGACCTGAGTTAACATGTCAAAGCACCTGAGGATGCTCCAGCCCCTCTGCATTAGCAAGGTACTGCTTACTCTCTGCTTCTCCCATATCCTCTTGGTCTAGCTTACCAAGAAAGCCTCTATGTGAGAAGAAATATATTCTCATGTCACTAGCTCTTTATTAACCACCTGTGCCAGGAACCTTAGCATTCAAACTAACTTGTTTTAAGATTTAAGTACAAACCCATTTCCCAGCCTAATGTTACAGAACCCACCTGGATAGTTCACTTTGCAGTGCTCATTGGTCACTTCCACCCTTTTCATCTCTGCCTGTTAGGAACTCTTGAAAGCATGGCAAAGTGACAGGAGAGCTTGGACAGTTAAGTGAGACTCTGGTACAGTAGATTTCTCTCATTGCTCTTGTACTAGTATATAGAAGGGATTCAGTAATTCCTTATCCCTTACCGTATCACAAATACCCATGGGTCTACACCTACCACAGTCCTCTCCTACCCCACACCCTCTCTACAAAAACTGCAACAAAGGACCATCAGATATGCTCTTAACATTAAAACAAACAACAAAAAACCACACCCAAACCATCAAAGCGATTCCCATACAGTCCACAGTTCTCCGTGTGAACAATGAAAGGGTAGGGGTGGAAGAGTGGTAGCACATACCTTCCTCAGAATGAGAATGTCCTGCTGACTTCACACTCAGCTACTGCTCAGTTCCACGTCAGCTGGCAGTGCTTAAGAGGAAACTAGACAAAGTAGTCAGGAGACAGAGGCCAACGCTATCCTCCTACCACACTCCTCTAGGAAGCAGCATTTGGGAATGCACACAATGACATACAGGCCTGGAAGGGCTTTAACAAAACTGTCAACAGGGACTGTGAGATCAGCACTGAGCAGCACACAAAAGTCAAAACATAGTATCACAAATTTACATGGAACCCAGCTGAGACCCAGCTCGCCCACAGAATGACCTATGAAAGTTCATTTTCATTTGCCTTGGGTTCTTCTGACACTTGATTTTCAAGTTCAGGTTTAGCTTCTCCCTCATTCCCAGCCTGGGTTTCAGACCTTGACGCTGTCTGCCCCAGCTCCTCACTGCTCTCTGGTGCCGCCTGCTGGTTATTTTTTCCTTCTGAGGGATCACTTTGATCCAACTTGCCATCATCAGGTTCCAACGTTGCTGCTTTGCCATTTCCCAGCTTCTGGAGAGGCTGTGAGTCTTTTGCACTCTTCACCACCTCTTGGAGGTTGTACTTGCGGAATAGCACATAATCTTTCACCACACTCAGGCAACACACAGCTTTGATGATCTCTACCACCACTGTGTACTCTGGGTTAGTGAGATCCACTTTGTTTTCTGAGTTGAGGCTGCCCACTATTCCTGAAACAGAAAATAGGAAAATGGGCAGAAGGCTATCATTAAGTCTAATGGAGTCAAACAGGCTTTCATCCTTACTTCCTAGGATTTTTTTTTTTTTAATAAGAATTCATTGTCCTATGGCCACCAATCAAATTCTATTAACACTTTTTAATTTTATTTATTTTCAAGACAGGGTCTGGTTGGCCTGAAACTCACTGTTGTAGACAAGGCTGGCCTAGATTTCATATAAATTTTGCCTGCCTCTGCCTCCCAACTACATGATCAAGGGCATGTGTGCTCGGCTCTACGAATGCTTTTAATAAATAAATATGAATGAAACCTTGAGACATTTCATAATAAAACAGTTGTTGGAGAGATGACTCAGCAGCTACAAACATGCACTGCTCTTGCAGAACCCATCTGTTTCCAGCACTCATGTTGAAGGTTACACAGTCACCTGTTAACTATCTCAAAAACAATATAACAGCTCCTCTAGCCTCTGTGGGAACTACAATTTAGTGTGAATCAAAATACTTATGGAAGAAATTAATATCTGTATTTAACATGAACAGACTAATTTTAACTGTCATTGCCCCTAAACAAGACAGCTTAACTATTTTCATAGAAGTTCCCTCAGACTTAGTATCACAAAGGCGATATAAAATATACAAGAGAATGTATGAAGGCTATATGCAAATACTATATCAAAACAGCCAGTTTTATGTAAGACTTAGCTGATCACTCACAGGCTTGGCATCCCCACAGGATCCAATAACCAATCTCCCATTGGTATGGGTAGACAACTGTACTTTCCCAAATATTCAATTCTGATTTGCAAAGAATCTACCTCACAACCAATATCACTTAGATCTTCTATATGTGTTTTAAAAAAAATGTATTACTTAAACTTTAAGATCCTTAAACCTAAGTGTTAACCTCAGCCGGCTATATAAAATTACTAAGAGACTTACCTGCCAACTCTTTGATAACTTCTTCTCTATTCATGTGGCTGTTATTTCGAGATTTGTAAACAATCTGAAATGTCCCCTTGTTTGGGGCCTTAAACCAGGGTTCCAAAAATGTTTCTGCATATTTTTTCATATCTTCTAAGAAAGCTTTGCATGTGCCTGAGATGGGCAACATTCGTAGAATAACTCGTGTCTTCTTTTTTTTGGTTTTGTACATATCCTGGAGAATATGGTGCACTAATTTCTCCGGTTCTAAAAGAAAAAAAGCAACATAGAAAAAAAAAGTTTTGTTTTTTTTTTTTTTTTTAAATAACTTGTATTTCTCCAGGACCTATCATATATCTAGTATTTTAACTTCTCATCTCTTTAATGCTTGTGCTAAAAATAAATGTTGACAGTCTCCAGAATCAATGCTTTGGAGATGTCCTAACTTAAACCATAACACCTTACTGTTGTTTCCTTGTAACACAAATTAGAACAAGCATTACACAGCACAGTTTTACAAAAACAAAATCTGTGTATCGCTTAAAGCCTTACTCAGTCCACCTGTTAACAAGCACAGAAGTCCGGCTCTCTGCGAGAAGAAAACCCAGCATCACAACACAGTGATTCACTGGCTACTTCCCAACTACACACATCTGCCCGAGATGTCAGTGTGCATATTTACAAATCAGTGATCACATTTGAAAGCCAAAGGAATTCTATTTCCAGGTCTTTAGTTAACTGGATCAAGCCCTCCATTCCTGAATGGTAACTATGCCTGGGACTAAACAGCAGCTCTCTTTTGAGACAGACTATACACTTTCACTCTATCTTAAGTCACATACAATGGATGGATGCAGCACAGCCAGGCTCCTACTCTTAAGCCAATGCTGTGCTCACCACCTCCAAGACAGAGATGCCCAGATACTATGACACTGATGATCATGGGG